GTTACCAGGGATTGAACTCAGGGGCACTCGACTACTGAGCCACATCTGCAGCCCTATTTTTTATTTTATTTAGATACAGGTTCTCACTGAGATGCTTAGCACCTTGCTTTTGCTGAGATACTTCTTGTGATCCTCCTGTCTCAGCCTCCTAAGCTGCAAGAGTTAAAGGCATATGGCACCACATGTGGCTACAAGAGAACTTTTCAAAAAATGTAAACAAAAGTGAACAATACCTTAAAGGTAAGAGTCCATTGACATATTTTTTTTCTCATGTCATGTTACATGACAAAGTTTATTTGAAACCCATACATCGTCCACACATTTCCCACGCTGAATACCTATTATAACAACAGGTATCCTAAATGCAAGAAGTAAATGAATTTCACTTCATTCAGGTAGTTTATGTGAATGTGTGCTTTCCATTGACATAAACATTCTGTGTCACCTCAAGTCACCCACAAAAGGCCATACTTTTCCACAACTGCTTCTCATCCACAGAAAGTTATGACACAACATGACTTCTCTACACAAGTATTATCTTACACTTAAAGAACGAAGAACTAAGGATGTTGGCTGTTTTAAATATGAAAGTTCACACAATAATTAAAAGAAATAGAAAATTGTGAGGCCCAAGAGACAACCAGCTATATAACTTTTAGTACTTTGTAGACCTAATATCGAGCTAAATGTCAATTTAAAATCATCTTATGGAAATATTCAATTAAGTTTATTGTATCACAATTAAAAATACAGTAATATTCATAACTCTGAAAAAGTAGACAGTGAAATTTTTCCTAATATAGAAGATAATTTACTTTATGATAAACGTTTTTATTATTAAAAATGTATAATGCATCCAGTGCTTTTCAAGTTGGCAATCAATGTGTCATACCTAAATATAGATTAGATTTATTCTTATTTATAGATTGACAAATTATACTCATACATTTGTGGGACATATAGTGACGTTATGTTTCAAGAATACAATGCTACCTGGGTGTGGTGGTGCACACCTATGTTCCCAAGGACTCAGGCCAGCCTCAGCAACTTAGGGAGGACTGAAGAAACTTACTGAGATTATATCACAAAATAAAAAATAAAAAGGGATGGAGACTTAGCTCAGTGAAAAAGTGCCCCTCAAATATATAATGAAAAAGAATAATAAAATAACTATTATGGTGATAACCATTACTTCAAAGGTTCGTATACTTCTAACTTTCATCATTTATATGATGAAAATGTTTGAAATATATGCTCACTAATTTTGAATTGTACATTATTATTTGCTGCATTCACCACCCTGCTGAATATATCTCAAAGGAAAGCAAAACCTATCCTTCTTGCCTTACTGAGAGTTGTACTTTTGACCTTCATCGCATCATTTCCTCATTTCCTGCATATTTTCGTCTCTGGAACCCCCCCATTCTACTCTGTTTTAAGAGTCCAATAGTGTCAGAATTTCCATATAAGTGATACCATGTGTTTTTTTTTTATCTCTTTGGATTATTTTACTTAAGCATAATGTTCTCTCCAATTTCATCCATGTTGTCAAAAATGGTAAAATTTTTTCCTGAGGCTGAACAGCATTCCCTTGGGCATACACCCATTTTCCTTATTCATTCCTCATCTGATGGACACTTGAATTGATTTCTGAATTGACTGTTGTGCACAGGGCTGCAATGAACATGGGGGTGCAGATTCCTCTTCAACTAACTGAATTAAAACATTTTATGTAAATACACTGAAGTGGGATTACTAGATTTAAATATTTTTTAAAAATACATATTTTTCTTAATTTGTTTAGCTGTCATCACAACCCATTAAGGCTATGAATTCAAAGGAGCTCACAGTCTACACTGGATTCAAACTCAATTCCTTAGTTACACAGTTAGAAGACGTGCTATGACACGACTTGATGCCAAAGAAGAGTACTAAACCACTGGCCTTCACAGTAATTTTAAATGAAGGACTGATAATCATGTTCAAAGGAAGCTCTAACCACTTGGTTTCAGAGAGAAAGCGGAGACATCATTTTCTAATCGAAACAATCAATCACTAATCATCTGATCATTAAAGGAGAGTTAGATGAACCACACACAGAGGCCACTTTCACATAGCCCAAAATCTTCTAAAAATGTAGCAAACAACTTTCAAAAATGCAAATTCAAAAAAGGTTAGTGTCCAATTTCTCCAGAAAACATTTGAAAAAACAACTATACTCATGTATTTCTATGGATTTTTCTACCAAAACATGTGATGGTCAGCTTTTCACTTTTTTAACACTGCAGTTGATGACAGATTTCTCACTACTTTTCCCACTGTCTTCCTGCTGCACAGTATACATGGTTCATGGCTTCAAGACCCTGTGATTGTGCTTGGCTTGGTTAAGAAATGACATCTATGCAGGGCATAAATACTAACAGAGTTGTAAAAAAAATCCAGAGATTTCTGTCTTTAGAAGGTAAAAATGTGACTTAACTCTGGAAAACAGATGTAATAATTGTCTCTTCATAGGTAAACACCATCTACTTCAATAAATGGAAAATTCACTATACCTGAGTACAGAATTGAATTTTATGGTTGTTCTTTCATTCAAAAGCAAACAACAATAAGTGTTGGCGTGGATGTGGGAAAAGAGAAACACTCATACATTGCTGGTGTGACTGCAAAATGGTGCCACCAATATAGAAAGCAGTATGATGATTCCTTGGAAAACTGGGAATTAAACCACATTTTTACCCAGCTATCCTACTCCTCAGTCTACACCCAGAGGACTTAAAAACAGCATACTACAGAGACATAGCCACATCAATGTTTATAGTAGCACAATTCACAATAGCCAAATTGTGGAAACAACCTAGATGCCCTTCAGTAGATGAATGGATAAAGAAACTGTGGTATATATACACAATGGAATATTACTCAGCAATAAAAGAGAATGAAATAATGGCATATGCAGGTAAAGAGATGGAGGTGGAGAATACAATGCTATGTGAATTTAGTTAACCCCCCCAAACCAATTGTTGAATGTTTTTTTTCTGATATAAGAAAGCTGATTCATAGTGGGGTAGGGAGGGGGAGCATGGGAGGAATACACAAACTCTAGATAAGGTAAAGGGGCGGGAGGGAAAGGGAGGAGACATGGGGGTAGAAATGATAGTGGAATGAGATGTACATCATTATCCAAAATACCTGTATGAAGACACAAATGGAGTGAATAGATTTAGTATAGAAGCAGAGATATGAAGAATTTGCCTATATATGTAATATGAATTGTACTGAAGTATGCTGTCATATAACAAATTAGAATAAAAACTTAAAAAATATAATTGGTCTATATCTGGGGTTCATTTTAGGTTTTCATTATGCATCTTGCTACTCAAAAGTAGAAGGCTTATTTAAAAAATGGCATTTTTTTCTTTTCCTTCTTTTCTTTCTTATCTGTGGAGAATCAAGAATAACATTCTTCCTGTCTCAGGCATGGTTAATTAACAAGAAGAATAAGAAAATCAGTGTCATTAAGATGTTCAGACCTGGGAACTGGTACCAACAGTTCTGACAAAAAGCTACCTCAAGCACCATGTGTACATTATGCATATTTTTAAGAGGCACATAATGAGTTTCTCCCAGAATTTTCCTTTAATACCACTTTGTTCTCCCTGTACAGAAGACAATAGCTCTGGAAATATTAGTCTACTATTTTCTCATATAATAACAAAATAATAAGTTAATATTTTTCTTTTTCTCAAATTCTTCTCACCAGGTGTAGTGGCCCATGCCAAAATCCCAGTGACTCTAAAGGCTGAGGAAGGAGGATCACAAGTTTAATACCAGCCTCAGCAACTTAAAAAGGGTCTAAGCAACCTAGTGATCCTCTGTTTCAAAATTTTAAAGAAATAAAATTAGTAAGTGGCTAGGAATGTGACTCAGGGGTTAGGAGTCCCTGGGTTATATCCCCAAGACCGCCCCCCCCAAAAAAACCAACAATGAAACACCATCTCTTTATTATTTGAATTATCATCAGCTCCTCAGGCAAAAACCAAGCTCCACTGTTCTCAACAGTAAAATGGGGATGAGATCAATCACTCCTCTGGCCTTTGGGTCTTGGGAGGTAACACAGCTATAATCATGAAGCATGGAGCCCAGTGCCTATTGAGGAATGGTTCTCCGTACATGAAGTATGGTGAGAATCCTGAGGTCTGAGATGTTGAGAATTGTTTAGAACACGAGACAGCTGTTGAAAATGTCATCAGGGGATGAGTTAAGGGCATATTGTGATCGAAACTAGAAAGGATCATAACACTGACTAGAGTGCTTTGCATAGGAGAGTCAGGAACAACTCATTCCCATCTACATATCCTATACTCTAAAGTCACACAAATACAAAAATTGAGGAAACTGTCTCATTACCACCAAAGAAAACATATCAACTGAATTATTTCAAAATTAACAACATCTTTACAAACATCTTTACATAAAGGCATTATGAACTCAGTGAAAAGAAACCTACAGAATGGGATAAAGTATACCTAAATTATATATCTGAAAAGGGATAAAAAACTCCTAAATATAAAGAACTTCAATCATCATCAATAACAAAACACCCAAAACCAAACAAAACAATTTCAAAATTGGCAAAGAACTTAAAGCAAACATTTCTCCCAAGAGTCTGTGGATCTCTGTTTTTTAAAAAGAAAAAAAAATAGTAAGTTTTGGTGAGAATGTAAATAAATTGGAACTCTGTGTGTTGTTGGTAAGAACTATACATGCAGTAGAAGAGACTTTGGCAGGTCTTGAAAAAATTAAAAAACTTACAACATGATCCAGAAATTCTACTGCTGGGTATCTGCTCCAAGATATGGTTGAAAGAAGGATTCAAGCAGGTGTGTGTATACCCATAGCAACATCATTCCAATAGCCAAAAGGTGTAAGCAACCCAGATTTTCAGCAGTAGATGAATGGATAAATAAAATATAGTTTATACTTATATACAATTTGGTCTTAAAAGGGAAAGAAATTAAAACATGTTCTGCAATTTAGATGAAACTTGAGGACTTTATGCTCAGGAAATTAGGAAGTCATGAAAAGACAAGTATTGTATGACTTCACATTGGTGAGATTTCTAGAATGGCCACATTCAGAACAAGAAAGTTACAGATGGTTGCAGAAGTGACAATGATGGGTGTGGGTAGTTACTCTAAGGTGGGTTGAAGACTCCACCTGAGAAGATAAACAAATGGTCAGAGTTGGATGGTGTTGATCAGTGACAACACGCATGTATTTGATTCCACTAACTCTGCACTCTAAAGTGGTTTGAATGTGCATGTGATGTGTGTAATTTACTGACATACACACACACACACACACACACACACACACATATATATATATATACATTTTTGAAACTGAAAACTAACTCTTCCATTCAGTTTTCAGCACACTAACTAATCTTATCCCATAATAAAACAGAAATGTTTACCCTGTAATGACATAAATTTGAAATCTTAATGGATGTTCATGAGCTTAAACAAAATGATGGCATTTTCACAAAATGGAGATCCAAATTTACTTACCTATTGTGGATTTCAGAACAAATATCCCTCAGCAAAATGAACATGACACCTGTAACCAGTCCCACAACAAATGTAGAAATTATCTATTCAAAAAGAAAAGTGAAAAATGAAAGAGTTTCAATTACAGGTAAGGCTTTTTATTACCTAATCAAATCTCTCCACTGAAATATATACGTTAAATGGATTGACCATAGTCACTGAGGAATTATCAAGCAGTGATTGTTATTAGACACTTTCTAAGTTAAAATTGAAAATGTTAGGATTCTGTTTTTTGGGCACTGACAGGACAAGGGAGCAGATGACCAGAAAAGCTAAGATTCTTCCCAGTGTCCACCAGGCACTGTCCACAAATGTCACATAGGTTAATAGCATGAGAAAGTCATTTGAAGAAGATGTTTTGGGAACAATATAAGGCTTTTGACTTGAACTGAATTCTCATGTTTCGTGCCAGTGAATGTGCACAATTTTATATTTCAAGGAGTTCAAATTAAAACTGGATGACTTCACTCCAATTGTTAGAAATAAATGAAAATTGGGTGCAGGGTATGTAGCTAAGCTACAGAATGCTTGCCTAGCATTTGCTAGACTTAGGGTTTGCTCTCAAACACTGCAAGATGAAGAGATAAGTAAAATTTTAATACCACTCAAAAATTTTATGAATGGAATTTTGAATGATAAGTAAGTAGTGATATGCACCTATTCAAACTGTTTGCAATTCCCACCTGCACAGGAAAAAGAGCATTGTCACAGTCACCAAAGCACATTGGCCACCTGGGGGCATCCAAGTGCTTCAGTGACCATCTCCTCTGATATTGTTGTCTTTCAATACAAACCATTGAGGCCTACAGTTAATATGGCACACCTGACTTGCCAATTTTTTGCCTTTATCACCCATCTTCACTTATTCAGTCTGTGTGAATGTCTCCCAGAGAAAATGGACCAATATTACATTTGCTCTTAGAATAAAAATCTCTTAAGTATGCTTCAGTGGGCATAAGGTCAAAGGTTATAGTAGAATACATGTGAGGAATTATTCTTATAATTATACATGGGTTAACTATAATAAAACAGAAGGTGGGAAAGTAAAGAAAACAAAACACCTTTCCAATTATATTGGAAATGTAAAAGTTATTTAAAAATCTCAATATTACAATTTCAATCCATGAACTAATCTGTAATGGACAGTTGGAAAAATGGCAGCCAAGGTGCAAAGAAAAGAACCATGATCCGTAAAGAATAATTGTAAGGAACAGACTCAGGAAAGAAGATTATTGAAATCTTTCACATATGAGATATCCTTAAAATTCTTTTGCTAAATAAGATAAATATTTGGGGTAGTTTCGGGAATTCATTCCACTGTCATATTTTCAAAACCCTCAGATTCTGCTCTTTCTTTCAACTAGTCAAGCTTCCAAGATCAATGCTGGTGTCTCTACAAGGTTCACATGTGTTGTTTATTCTTGCATGAAGAAAAAAAAAAGACATTGAGCAAAGTGAACATTTCAAAACAGAGTAAATGGATCTATGAGATTTGTACATCTGTCTTCTGGTCTCTGTTCAAAACAGATAAAAGAAGGAAATTATCCAACTACATTATTCTGCCCTGGTTCAGATATACTTAAATAACATTTCTCATAGTGTGTTCTGATGGATGTTTGTTAATAATTTAATGCATAGTCAAATATTTAATATGTAAGTGGAAACAATGAAGCTTAGAGAGATTAGTGGTAATGTTGTCAAGTAGATATAAAGAACAAAAACACCTCGTTTTCAAGTAATTCATTCATTGCAATATCTTCCCAACATATCATCTCATTAAATGTCCAGTTGGAATCATGGCAATAAATAACTAAAATACAATAAGTCAATAAATAAAGGATTATCAGGAAGTCATTAAAACTTTTAATAGCTCCATTTACAAAAACTTAGAGAAATAAAAATCATACAAGATTAAGAACCTTATGTCAGAGTCAGAAACAGTGGCACATGCCTGTAATCCTAGCAACTGGGAGGCTGAGGCAGGAAGATCACAGTTTAAAGCCAGCCTCATTAGTTTAGCAAGATGTTTTCAACTTAGCAAGACCCAGTCTTAATATAAAATATAAACAGTTCTATGGATGTGTCTCATGGTAAAGCCTCCTGGGTTAAATTCACAGTACCTAAAATAAAATAAAATAAACATAAATTTAAAAACTTAAACAAAGTGTCAGTAAACTATGGCTCACAGACCAAAAACAGCCACTTATTTGGATAAGCCCACAGGCTAAGAATATTTTGCCAATTTTTTCAATTGCTGGGGTGGAGTAAAATATAAAGAATAACATTTCTTTCAATATAAAATTCAAAATTCAGTGTCCATGAATAAAGTTTTAGTGGAATGCTGACATGTTCATTTGCTCACATATTAGCTGTGGCTGCTTTTATAATGAAGTGCAGAGTTGACCTTGTGAGAAAAACACCATGTGTGGCTCTGAAAGCCTAAAATATTTATCTTCTGAGCCTTTTCCTAAAAGGGTTTGCCTGCTACTGAGCTAATATTTCAACATTTAAAATCCTGAACAAGAGTTGTCTCACTGAGCTCAGGGATCTACAAGGTTCTTCCCTTACTGTAGAGACTACTGCTTTGCTGAACGTTGCTGGAATTGCTTTTGGAGAACCGAGTTCAATGATGAGACAAGAAGGCTGAATGTGCTATTTGGAGGTTCTGGACCTGCTGTTTGACTCTTAAGAAAGCCTAGGGCCCTCACCTACACACCTGGTGTAAAAATACCTCTGTTCTAATAACGTCTTTCCCAGAACTACCATATGTTTCTTGGATAAGACACTTAAAAATCAATTTTAGAGACAAGAAAAGCCTAATGAACAAATCACTCAGAAGAATCAAATTATTACAGTGTCTTCCTGTTGAACAGTGGGTTACCAAAGTTAATGCATATAATTGACCTGACATAGTTCCAAATTACCTCCAGTCTATTATCTAAGAATAAAATATTGCTCTTGAACAATAGGAAACAAAAGTGTTTGAAAGAAATGCCAAAACATGAGGACTAAAGAAGTTCTAAGCAATGAACATCATCCCTGAAATGGGGATGCAGACTCTCATGTACATGTGGAGAGCAACACTTAAATACAAAAACTGTGCTACTCATGCTGAGAAGTCAGTTCACTAAAGCCTGCAATATGTCATATCTTAATACTCCACAGAAATACAATGATTGATCATAAAAATAATAAACCAAAATAACCAGCTAAATTGAATTCTCTAAAAATATTGGACAAATGAACAAAGAGAACCAATGTTTAATGTGACATAGGGGTTAACACTAACTAAAAAAATGGACTAAAGTTGTAGCCCAATGGCAGAGCATTGACCTAGTGTGTGTGAAGTTCTGGGTTCAATCCCCAGTATTGCAAACAAAACAAAACAAAATGCAAACCTTGAGGAATAATGAAAATTACCACAGAGTTGATCAAAAGGAGAATAGAAAATCATTGCATCTTATTTAAGGGAGTTAAACCCAATGTGAATATAACTTCAAGTATGGTTACTTTCTGTTCATAAAGTGCACATTCTTGGGTTATGTATTTCTTTGCCAAGATTAGAGTCAATTAATGAAGAGGGTCAATTATAAGGAAGAGCAATCTGCCCACTGTCTCTCAGACAGTGGACAGAACAAACTACCTTCAGGAAGAAAAAATGGCACTAGTTGTTTGAACACCTGATTTCAATGTCAAATCAATCCTCTTCTCCCCACCTCCAGCCCTCTGTCTCCTTCATTTCCAACTTTTAACTCCCTAAACCTTATGCATATTTCATTCTACCATCTCACATGCTCTGTATTTTCTTTATTAGGCTATATTTGATTCCTTCATAAGGAAATAAGATTCACACACGCAGAAATTTAAATTTTTAATCCATTATTCACTACTGTAGTATTCAAATGAAACACACGATATTGGAATGTATCTTTGGAATGAAACAATAAATGATAATGGACATCTCCTAGAAAATTGGTTGAAAATTGTTTGTCAGAACATTTTTTTTAGAAATAAAATTTTGACTAACATTATCCATTAGACTTTGTATATATCACCCACATTTTTGAGTTATGCAGTCTAGGAAGCCACTTAAAAGTTTATATGAGTAGGAACTTCATTGTTTTTATCACTGTGACAAAATAATTAAGAGAACTAAGAAAGATGATGTTATGATTTGGATATGAGGTAGTCACAAAAGCTCCTATGATAAGGCAAAAACATTCAGAGGTGAATTAATTGAATTTTGAGAACTGTAACCTAATTAGTCATTCCTAGCTGGAATGGACTCACTGGGTTTTAGCTGTAGGCAGGTGGGATGTGGCTAGAGGAGATGAGTCACTGCTGGCAATGCAGGGGATGCCCTGAAAGCACTGTTCTTCCTATGGTCCCTTCTCCCTCTCTTTCTGCTTCTGAATCCCACCATGAGCTGGGCAGCTTTTTGTGCTGGACCCATCCTCCATGATGCACTGCCTCACCGTGGGCCCAGAACAATGCAGTCAGTTCTCTATGAAAGGAAATTTCTGAAGCCACTTCCAAAGAGCCCCACCTCTCAACATTGCTCCTTTAGAGACCAGCCTTCAACCATGAGCCTTTGGGGGACAATTCATATTCAAGACAATACACTAGATTGATTGGCTGTTTTCAAATTCTGAGTGGGAATGACAAATAAATGAAAATATGGGTAGAAGACAAAAGAATCCTGCATAAGTCTATATTAGAAACAAATTGCTCCCACATGGGTATTTCACAGCTTAATTGGGAGAATATATCACTTACCAAAGTTGCCCAGTACTGAGGATTACCCGTAAAATTTTGGAATGAACGCCTGTTGAGGCCAATGAGCTGATGGACGAAGGAAGTGACATAGGGGATCTCCTTCCTGACCAAGCAT